TGGGCGAGATATCTGTATAAGTTCTTAAAAGAGGCTTGTGGAAAGTCTTCTTCAGTCAGATAGCAAATCTCAGCTAGTCTCCCAACTGAACCTAATTTCAACAGTGATCAGTTTGTTGTCATGCCTGTGCAGCTGATTGCATTGCTATTGTCCCTGACATGAGTCATGCACCTCCTTTTCTCTCCATGCGTAGTACTAATCTACTAGGAGATACTCAGCAATGGCAGCTGCTTGTGTGCAGGTCAAAAACGCTGTCCTGCTCTTGAAGACAGTATTTTGAAATCAGGCCTAGACAGTAATGCCTGCTAGAAATATTTTCCACATTGTCCAAATGTATGGATTTTTCATCAATAGGCATTAATCCGGCTTTAATGAGTAATAATTTAACTTTCCCGTTAAATTTCATAAAGTTTTGTAAATCTATTTTTGGATTGGTAGTTCGCTAATAATTTTGATTATCTACATTTTTGTTAGAATTACAAATCAGAAGTAAAAGCCCACAGCAAAATAAAATATTAATTTTCACAGGGAAGCTGCCCATTATGTTTGAATAGCCTGTTGGAACTTGCTGAATGTCTTCACTGTTAAAGAGTGAGGTTAGGAACTAGCAAGTAACCTATAGATCTGGAAATGTGTCACATATGAATCAATGTCTCTATGGAAAATTGCAGAGAAAATACTTCAAAAATATATATCTTATCTCAAACATAAACTTGACTAGCATACATATAAACAAGGAATTTGGAGACTGATTTTTGAGATTTAATGGCATTAACATTTGCAAAATATGATTACAGAAAGTCTATAACAGAGATGACAGACTTTGCTGTAAATTGAATGGCTACATCCTTTCGTTATGGTCCTGTATCATGATGTTTAAAGACAACTAAGCAACTGGTTCCTTCGACCGAACTGAACAAAACAGTACGCGTTGGTCCAACCCAGCCTTTACTTGCCAAAAATTTGTAGCTTCAAGTTACCAGTGTGTTTCTGCCGAAAACACAACAAGCAGTTTTAAGGTTATTGTCTGCTTCTTATTACTGTAATAGATTGGCTAGAAATGGTAGAATAAACTAACCACGTCTGTAAGAAATGTCAAGCCATTGCTTTTCTTTAAACATTGATATGCGTGTCACACACACCTACTCGGTCTACAACCCTACTAAGGTCAAGGTTCAGAGCACAGTACATTTCACATAATTTCTTTTCAGTCCTCAAGACTGGAAACTCAATATTTTATGCTTCCTATAATCTTTAGTCTTTTATAAACCAAGGTTGGCATCAGCAAATCGTAACTTGGAAACTTAGCTCCAACTAATCTTTATGAGATGTATTTCTCAAGAGGCTCTCTCCATCATTTGCACTAATTCTGGTAGAAGAACTAAATAAATTCCTAGCAAAAATTCATCAACTAACACTTTTCAACTTTTTATTTCTTGGGTTTTGATTGCAACTCTTACGAGTCAGTGCCAACATGAGAGTCAGACTAAATAACCCTTAACTGCTCTGGTTCTGCTCAATAAAAGGTAATGTTAACTCTCTTTCCCTCTCTGCTGACACTGTCAGACAAGTTGTGTATTTCCAACACTTTTCTGCTTTGATTTCAGATGTTCAGCATCTGCATTATTTCAGTTTAGTGTCATCCTGATTAATGTTCACACTTTATTTCGAATGTACCTGCATAAAATGCAAATGTTATGTAACCCACAGAAAATCACGGTAGACTGGTAAGCAAGGTTAGATCACACAGAATACAGGGAGAACTAGCTATTTGGATACAGAACTGGTTCGAAGGTAGAAGACAGAGGGTGGTGGTGGAGAGTTGCTTTTCAGACTGGAGACCTGTGACCAGTGGTGTGCCACAAGGATCGGTGCTGGGTCCACTGCTTTTCGTTGTTTATATAAATGATTTGGATGTGAACATAGGAGGTATGGTTAGTAAGTTTGCAGACGACACCAAAATTGGAGGTTAGTGGACAGTGAAGGAGGGTACCTCATAGTACTTCAGAATATTAATCAGATGGACCAATGGGCTGAGGAGTGGCCGATGGAGTTTAATTTAGATAAATGTGAGCTGCTGCATTTTGGAAAGACAAATCAGGGCAGGACTTATACACTTAATGGTAAGGTCCTGGGGAGTTTGCTGAATAAAGAGACCTTGGAGTGCAGGTTCATAGTTCCTTGACAGTGGGGTTGCAGATGGATAGGATAGTGAAGGTGGGGTTTGGTATGGTTGCCTTTATTGGTCAAAGCATCGAGTATAGGAGTTGGAGGTCATGTTATGGCTGTACAGGACATTGGTTAGGCTAATTTTGAAATATTGCGTGCAGTTCTGGTCTCCCTGGTATAGGAAGGATGTTGTGAAACTTGAAAACGGTTCAAAAAAGATTTACAAGGATGTTGCCAGGATTGGAGGGTTTGAGCTATAGGAAGAGGCTGAATAGACTGGGGCTATTTTGCCTGGAGCGTCAGAGGCTGAGGGGTGACTTTATGGAGCTTCATAAATTCATGGGTGGCATTGATAGGGTGAATAGACCAGGTGTCTTCCCTGGGGTGGTAGAGTCCGAAACTAGAGGGCATAGGTTTAAGGTGAGAGGGGCAAGATTTAAAAGGGACCTAAATGGCAACATTTTTCTCAGAGGGTGGTGCATGTATGGAATGAGGAAGTGGTGGAGGCTGGTAAAATTACAACATTTAAAAGGCAGCTGGATGTGTATATGAATAGGAAAGGTTTAGAGGGATATGTGGCAAATGCTGGAAAATGGGGCTAGATTAATTTAGGATATCTGGTCAGCATGGATGAGTGAGAACAAAGAGTTTGTTTCCGTGCTATATATATCTCTGACTCTAAATGTCACAGTACTCAGATGTCAATATTTAGATTGGTCCCCTAACCCCATCAGCTGCACATTCTCCATATCATGGTTTTAGTACAAACTGACAAAGCTGAAGCAAGCTTCTTTTTGGATACAAATCCTTCCTTTCCTTTCATTACCATCAACCATTTAGTATGAAGGGATGAACTCTCTATCCTCAGGGGATGAAATAGGGGTTGCATTTTCTTTTGTGTCTCTATGCAGATAAATTTGTCTTTTTCATTGACCTATCATTGATTTATAATAATAGGTTATAAACATTTAAGGACCAATTCTAGAAATGTCTCATCTTGAACTGAATTTGACCTGCCAGGAAGATGCATGCTAGCCAATATGAAAAGGCAGAAATCAGGAACTTATCGTGAATGTAAACGTTGATCCGAAACATGACCTATCGCTTTTTGGAAAATCTAGATCGGGTTTCAATGTGGTATTTCGTGGTCAGCAGCCCAATTTTATTACTGAACGTTTTCTTTTTCAATAGTTTCCAATTGTATGCCTATTAAATATGCATATTTTATTGAATGTTTTAAACCACATAACCATTATATTATTTGCTTCAGTGGGACAGCACCCAATTGTAAATATATTTGGACTTTGGCAATGTAGCAAGTATGTTAAATGCTATGATTATCCATGGGTTAAATACTAAGATGATATGCATGGAGGTTGGCGATTGCTGGCAGCTTTTTTTTTGCCTCTACGGCTCACATATATAAAAAGCTACAAAACTGCTTACAATTTTTAATATCTTCTGCAAGATAAAACAAGCTTTAAAGCTGTTTCATGTGTCTCCAGAGATTGCAAGCTGACAGCAAAAGGTATTTACTATTGTTCTTCAAGGCACCTATTAACATTTTTTCTCATTTTTCTAATGTTAGAGGTCAACATATGCTTTGGTAATCAAAACACCAAAAGAATCATTATGTACATCGCTGATGGCATTTGTAGACAAAAGTGCTGCTTACCCAAAATGAATGTATTTTACTGACTATAACATGTGTTTAGGGGCAGCAGCAGTGTTGGATTTTCAAAAGTTTAGTTGGAGACCCTACAGATGAGCCACACAACCATGCGGCTTTTTTCATGCCTGCCAGTGGGAAAGAATCCTGTGGATCTGTATGCTGTGCAACACAGGATGAAATGTGTAAGCAAACAGGGGATTGTCCTTTGGGCTGTACAGATTACAGATTCATAGGCCAAGGGCATTAATGCATCAGCACTCCAAACTGAGAGCTAGTCAGATCTACTCGAGCCCTGACTCACTCTTGGCCCCAATGCAGTTGTGAGTGTTGCAAGTTCTTAAAGCTTAGAAAACAGTGCAATAATAAAGTACTCTTTACAAATCCTAATTATTAGCAGTTTGGCTAATCCCCTAAAATTGCAAGAAAAAGTTACCACTTGAAATGCTCCCTTGCTTGTTTTCCTATATCACTTGCCTCAGCTGGGCTGTCAGCATTTAACCATGTTGTACAATGGTGATGTGTTCCAATACAGAGGAAGGAATATGTAGCAGGACCTGAGCTGTCCCTACTGCAATTGCACCTCATGTCACAAACAATCACGGGACACTACTGTGGAGAAGATACGTTACCTGTAGCCAAAAGTGGCTGAATCAATCAAACCAGTGGAAGAAAAAGATACATGTGCCAAAATTCCCATTTAAATAAAATTTGTGACTTTAGAAAACACAAACTATGTTAATGATAACTGAGGCTGAGCAGAATTCAAGCTGTCTTAGTGTTTCCTCCACAGCACTAGTAACAATAGGGGGTCATGTGACACTGTATCCCATCATTGAGTCATTAATAGTTGTGCTGGAGTAATTACACTTATGGTTCTTTTCCCTCTAGCAAATTTCTGAAATAAGATGGTGGAAATTATGGTACCACTGATAAATATTAATAAGTGAACTTTTAATTTTTGCCACAATATTCAAAATGTGAAACAACCAGCTAATTCTCTAGTGGGTTACAACACATTTGCCCTTAGGCTTATTGCTTTATACACTTAAAAAGTTTTAAAGAAATTAAATTTTAATATCTAATTAGTGAAAGACTCAATGTGGAGCAAAGGCTGTGGGTACTATGGACTTTACAGACTGAAGGCATTTGTTGATCTTACCTGTAAAGCAGCATTAAGTGGTGATCCATATGCAAGGCTGGTTTGTATATTTTTTATAATAGAAGGGTTGCTGTGTATAAGGAAACAAAAGATTAGTAACATTCACAATCCATTTTGAATAAGTAACTGATGTACTGTAGGTATTAGTGTATTAAGTTCCATTCTTCTAACAGAGAAAAAATACTTTTATAATGGTCTCAAAATTGAAAGAAGCTCTTTAACTGACACTGCCAATCTTTTAGCCAATTAATTTGAATTTAAAGTTACAGTAATGGTTGTGGTTCCATTTAAAGCACAATTTATAAAAAAAGCTTTTAAATAGCTTTTTAAAGTAAACTGCAAACTATATTTATTTATTAACTTATTTGGATATCATTCAGCAAATGGATTTGTCTCTGTAGATCTTTGATGTAGACAGAGGACAAAAACATAATCCTATTTAATCCCTATATAATTTGATTCAAAGTAATGTGCCAGAAGTAAAGTGGCATTCTATCCAAATGCATACAATTCAAAGTAAAAGTGGCTGCATATGTAATGTTAGCAAGAATTCTTGCTGATATTGTTCAAAGATATGACTCACAGAAACAACGTTCAGTTTCTAGATTTTGCAATTATTCAAAAAATAGTTTGGAGTTGATGAGTATTAGTTTTCATGGCTCAGAGTATAAAGCTGCTGGACACTTTTTTTGGGTGCAATGGATACATGCTGAAGCCCACCTATTATCTTGGCCTTTTGGCAAACAAATAAATAAGATTAAGGAGAGTATTAGATTAACCAGACTTATAAAATGGGAATGGTTATACAGAGAATGAGAAAGAATACTGCAAGATACAGATATTAAGTAGGTGACATTTTGTAAGATGACTGGCAGAAAATAAATGTAATATGAATAGTAGATAAATGCAAGAATTGGGATGTTAAAAATTAAGATTGTGTGGGATGGGGCAGGCTAATTTATATTGATACTATCCAGCATCATTGCTTTGTTAGAGGTTTACTAAGATGCTATGATCAAAAAAAAACTGACTGGCTTGGAGGAATTTTTGCCAATATAAATCTGAAATATATGCTTTCACAATACACAAACGGATCTTCTATGACATTGGTCACGATCAGTTAGGAAAAATGCTGATTTTTCTTTATTTCAGATAATTTATATCATAGAATATCCAGTTGAAGATATTCTCAGTCCTTTGTGCATGAGGTGATGGCAAAAAGAGTGATAAAGTAGTGTAGAAGACATCAGGTAGCATGCTCAACACCTTCCTTCCCCGTGCCATTTTGCTAATGTTGGAAAGTAGATAGGTCTGCCATCTACCCAGAGCCCACGTGAGCCACTTTCATGATCAGTAGACTCCTTTTTGAGCACTCTGCACCCCAAAGAGGAGCCATCTGGGATCAGGGGCTGCTCCACATCACCGACACCGAGTGCTGTCAGCAATTCCATTTTATCATTTATCTGTCTTCAAGTGACAGCCATCAATGTGTCCTCAACAGGCAGCTGCAGTCCAGCACTCAGCCACCGGTGTTGCCGAGTTGCCAGCCTGCTGATTGAGCTCCTTGAAGGCACCTCCCAGGAAGAGGTTGCGAGGATGTTGCAATTGCAGGCTCCGCGGTTCAACGACAGGGGCCATGTGGAGGAAATCTTAGAGGCACGAACAAAACAAATTTGGCAGAGAGGTTATCCCTCCACTGCAAAGTCTTCACAGCACTGGGTCCCTATTTTTGGAGTTGCATTGATATTTCTAAGAACAACTTCATTTTGAGGTGCACTCAAGCTCTCCTTCTGATCGGAGCAGTATTCTCATCTCCTGGCAGGGCTGCCAACTGCTGTTATCTGTAAGCCCTAGGTTTGGGCCTACAGGCTCAGGTACCTGCACAAAATCCTTCATTAGGATGCACACATAGAAGCAACTGGTTAGATTATCACCTAGTGGAATACTGCACTGGAGGGCAGACTTGTGTTAGTACCTAGAAATGGTCTTCATTCCTTAGAAGTTATAATATTTTAACTGATATTGCAGATTGCATGTATCTACCAGGCATCTAATGGCAATACAGTGGTGGATTGCATTGGATTTTGGGAGTTGTCAGGACAAGGATAAGAAATTCCTGGGTTTAGGTAATAATGGATATAGCTCAAGCTTGTGTGAAGAAGTACATCATGGAAGCATTTTGTTGGAGATGCTGATATTTTCCAGGACTGAAGTCATTGTGGTGTTTAAAAGTAGAGGGAGTCCTGAAGTCTCAAAATACATTGGGAGGAGAGGGTCTCGAGATGTAGCAGAAGCATGGGATGGAAGAATGACTCTAATCAAGAGTAATAATGTTCATACACATGCCTCCAATTACCTATACTGTAAACTGAGCAGCATTGGGTATGCAGAGCAATTCCTAATTATCAGTTGCAATACAGAGACTAAGCAGCTGATTCAAGGGACTTCTTTATCCGACTGGTGTATCATGCAGTGCATTTACTACTGAGCCAGAAATAGAGTTTAAAAAAATACAGATAAAAGTGATGGGATAATAAGAAGACTTTCTACAAGTCTGAAACAATTACATTACCACAACAGCCTAATTTGTACTTGCCTGGACACAAAACATTTTTATGTTCATAGTTGAAATACGTACTGAGACAGAGTATTTTTTCACTGTTTGGAATGGACTGGTTGTATATCATAAAGATTTTAAAGTATTAAAGAAAAGGTTCACGTTATCACTTTATTCTAATCACCTCGTCAAATAAGAATTTATTCCTTAGTCACCATCTATTTATTCCATGTCCTAGATCGCACGACCCCCCCCACCACCTTTATTTAGGTTTTCTGCTACTGCGACCACATGGCGACTTACTCACCCAGCAGGGAGTGTGATGTGGAATCTTACAGACATGTAATGGAATATAATGGTAGTTCTACCATTAACAGTTTATCTTCCCCCAAAGTGAAGTCCTCCACTATCTTAAACAACTCCATCAATAGCTGGACTAGAATCTTGTGAATCTGACAATAAGCGTCACTATGTCCTGCAGCAATTCGAATGAGTACATTTGATTAAGACTTGAATATTTTAATACAGGATTACTCCAGGATTCTATCTTTCCACAATTTTCCTCTTTTCCCCCAACCAGCTGTTCTGAAAATAAGCACAAATGTATTGAATGATATGTTGCTGCATGGGGCAAATGGCTGAAATACATTACTACCCACAGTATGTTAAAACTTTGATTGCAAATTCCACTGTGTATAATCTGCTGTGTATTGCAATGAAATGAATGAACTTGTACAGGATTTACTTTAAAACTTACAGTTCCAATGGAAGAAGTTGTGTCACCTAGCAAAACGGATGAATATTTGTACAAGTGTAGATCAATGGATGTGCCTGCATGGTAGTGGGGAAGACTCCGCTTGATGAGCAAAGTTGCCGAATCTTTTAGATTTAGTTTAGGGATATGTGATCATGTTACCCTAATAGACTTGATGAATTGTTGCATTTCAATCATGACTAGTTAGTAAATTTAGTATTTGATTTCTTTTTTACATCATACATTATGGTGGGATGAAGGCTATGTTTCTTTGTTCCATGTTTGAAATATATCATTGTTGAACCCTTGCACTGGGTGAAAGTGACACTGCATAATATGTTGTTACTTTTCACATTTGAAGTGGAATAATACAAATATTGAAAGCATTGTGCTGCATTTTTCATGATGAGTATTTGGAACCTGTTGAAACGTGTGAAGTAAATTGCACTCATGATATCTTCTGATAATTTAATGTCTTGCTTCATTTACATAGCCCCAATCTGATCAATTTTTCAAAAGTCATTCACAGATGATTATTCTGCATTGTCCATAAAAGTCAAAGGCTAAATTCCTTCTATCCCAAAACTCAGCTGTTAGGATTCTTAAGAGTTCCTCATAAGAACTGCTTCTTGTGCGTTTAGACCCTTGAGATCAGACTGTGTAAATAATGGGGAACAGTACTAATAATGAGCCGAGTTTGGAAGAAAATTTCATGACGTAACCTGAACCTTCTCTTTAACCAATTACCGGAAAGACTTTCTAAAATAGAGCTTGGTTTATTACAGAAATATTGCACTTTGAATAAACTGCAACTTGGTCAATAACAGGATCATCAACTTTAATGCAACAACATACACTACAGTACAGAAACAGTTATTCATATTTAACTCAGGGCAATCTGACAGATGGTAACCATGCAATGCAAAGCAGAAGCAAAATAGTAGCAAGCAAAAGCTCTTACTGTGCAAACTGTTCATCAAAGCTTTCATCAGGGTAGTATTTTCGAGGACGGCCTCGTTGAATGTGGCGACCACGTTTAAATTCTTCATCATCAACAGTCCAAAAGGACCCAAACTCATCCTCTACTCTGATAAAGCACTTATGTAGTGACAAATTGGTGCGTATGGCACCCTGGGATTATAGCAGCAGTCAAGCAGATGCGATGGAAAAGACAAACAAGGGTAACGGGATTTGGGAGAGAACAAAAATCACACACAAGGGTTGGGTAAGGGAAAGGAGAAAAAAAAATGAAATAAGCAAATGGTTTGTGGGGTTAATATGTGTAGCCTGCAAGCAGAAGCATATGATGCAGAACACTAGGCAAGCAGATGGAAAGGACACAGGGTGGGCACCATGGCATACACAGACTGGAAAACAAGGGGAAAGGACCCTGTGACAAAGCACTTGCTTTCCATGCCCCACATTTCCTAGATAGCAAGAATATAACCAAGCGACACCCTCCCCTCCATCACCTGCAAGCAGCCATTAGCTGTAGATTAAACTACATGGGAGCTAGCTATGCTAGGAGTTTCAAGCAATCAAACATGGTGGACATACCCACTGATCTTTTGTGGCCTTCGTTTTTGGAATTCTATTTCGTCCACTGTCCATACTGCCCCTTTAACATTTTCTACTCGAACAAAACACTTGTGAAGACTAAGATTATGGCGCACTGCATTCTATAGTGAGTACAAAGAAGAGAACATTCAATATTGTATCTAAAAGAAAGGAAGTATAAATTGTAAGTGTTGCCAAGGCCAGGCTAAAAAAAAAACCATTGAATTCAATTCTGCTGAAAATGTATCAATAATGGCAGTCTTGTCAAGCAACCATATTTCATCAAAAATTAAGCCTTTGGTCTTCATCGGAAATTTATGGGAAAAGAATGCATATGTGCCATTTTCCTAGAGTCAAAAAGTAAAGCTTACATGGTTTATTGTTAACCACTGACAGTTTCAAATGCTGTAACATACAATCTATTTTTCCTGTACATGTTTTTATCAAATTCAAAAGAAATGACAATGCATGAGACAGCAGTATTTTCCATTCAACGTCTGGCATTAGCAATCAGTATGTAAGGGGAATCTGAATATGCAGTTCAACGTTATATTTCTGATTATTTATAGCACTGGTGGTCACAATGTATTTCACTGTACTTCTTTGAGATAACCAAAATGATGTATGAACTGATGAAATCTGTAAAGGGGAAGAATCATGAACTGATCTGAATTTGCTAACTCAGGCTAATTTTGAAGCTCACTCCTAAGTGGCAAGCCATTCAAACCACATTATGGGTACCTTTCATCGTTCCAATAATGCTGCTTAAATACCATTGAAATACTTTCCTTTTTAGAACATAGAACATTACAGCACAGTACAGGCCCTTCGGCCCTCGATGTTGTGCTGACCTGTGAAACCTATCTGAAGCCATCTAACCTACACTATTATAGAACATAGAACATTACATTACATTAACCCAAGTGGTCTATCTTTGCAAATGTTGAATAATTGACAACAAACACAGAAATTGCTGGATAAGTTCAGCAGGTACAGCAGCGTCTGTGGAGAGAAACGCCACTTTCTGTGGAAGGGTCACTCAACCTGAAATGTTAGCTCTGATTTCTCTCCACAGATGCTGCCAGATCTGCTGAGCTTTTCCAGCAATCTGCTTTTGTTTCTGATTTACAGCATCCACAGTTCTTTTGGTTTTTATTTAGTATTGAACAACTGGTTACCAATTTAGAACAGAATTCAAGGTCATTGTGAGCAGGTAACTAAGTTGGCCAGACTAATTCTACTCAAGATCCAATAGCCTTCAAAGGATGCCCGAACTGGACTTAAATGTTGCTCACCATGTTGGGAAGCAATGTTTATGTACCATGTCACCCAGGCTTGATTTATTAAGCCACTATATTAATAGTCAAAACATGCATGGATCAAGAAAGTTCTTATTCTTGTTGGATAAAGTAAAAGTATTGGCATTTGTTCATATATCTAATCTGAAGATCAGTTAGTGTGCTTAACACAGCCATGGTTTGAAAAATATACATGTGTGGCAATGTTCTTCAATCTCTTCTTTTTGTCAATCTATTTAATAAGTTGTAGTAACTTGTCAAAGACTTAATACCAAAATAAACTGACTCAAAAGTCTTTATGCTTTCCCCCCCAGTTATTACTTCAGAATAACTACAGGATCACTCATTTGGAGTTGTCCTACAAAAATCTTACCCATAGCCTTGCAGCACTACAACCTAATTGTTAGGCCATATTCCACTCTTAATGAAATTGTATAAAACTAAAGTAAATGAAGATTGCTTCTGACTTATCAGAACCAGTTGAGGCTTCTTCCATACAGAAGTATGTTTAAAGAAATGTCAAGAAATGGATCACAAGCTATTACTGAAGGCACATATATATATATATTTGCTTTTCACAGGCTATTTATATTCAGGCCGGCTTTTCATAAATAGATGGAAGCCAATGTTATACATAGCTAACCAATTCTGTGTTTTTGCCATGCAGGACTGAGTCACAGTAGGAAAGATGAATGTTCATCGCTAAAATGTGCCCCACGGAAGGACTGTCAGCAGTTGGTGGAGCATTCTGTTAAAGAGTTGAATGAATCTACTGAGCTGATACTTGTCAAAGTCACAGCTGTAGATCTGACATGTTGAAGATGGACTAAATCCGTTATGTTATTTAAATAAGGTATACAATCTTTACGTGATACGTGTCATTTTTACACAAATGGGCAGGCTGCAAAATACTAAGTAAAAATGGAGCTACATTTTGGTACAAGCAATATTTAGCATTTAAGAAACAAATAACAAACTCATAGCACTGCATGTGTTGAGACAAAAAAAAAATTACTGAAGGGTAGTTTCATTGCAGTTTTAATTAATATTAAAGGTCAGGCATGACCAGCTACCAAGTTAAAGACCTGAATTTTAATTGTCAGTCAAACTCATCCTTTCTCTAGAGGGCATGTTATGGCCACTCTGTTTTCAGGCATCATTATATCTATGAAAGATGATCGACACAAAGCAAACAAATCCATTTCACAAGGTGTCGCTTTATGTAGAACACATTTGCTGATGGCTGAAGAGGCCAAATTTTAAGAGGCAGGTTCTGCTAAAAGAACTGAATGTGAAGCTACTAGGTGACATTATGGGGTGTTTCTTTTGATGCTCACATTTGATGCAAAGCCATTGGTCATCATGGTGGTGCATGCCAATCCATAGGAGGTTTTTGCATTTACTTCTGATGTGAATAGTAATCCCAGGTGCAATGATCAATGTTTTTGGATCATGTCACCCTTGAAAGTATTCTTGAAGTAGAGATTTGGGCACCCCACAGGTCACCTGGCTCCATCTAGCTCACCAGACAGAAGGACCCTCGTTATGTGCCTGTTGTCTATCCTGTGGGCATAGAGAAGCCAGCGAAGTCACCTCTGTTTGATGAATGCTAACAAAATTGGATACTTTGCTTTGAAGAGGACTGCACCGTTTGTGATTGTGTCCTGCCAAGCTATATTCGTAACAGTGTAGGTAGTGAAGATGGAATTGTTAAGCTTCTTTTCAAAGAGATATCTGAAAAACCATGTATGCAAGATAAATCTTTCTCCTGCAAGAGAAGCTAAACAAACATTTGATTTCTGGTATCCTCAGAAACTTTTAAAAATAATCTTCCCTCCTGAAAATGCATCAAAATTACAGGAACAGTATCCAACACTTAATTACCCTTTTGTTTACTAACTTAATGCAGGAAAATGAATGCAACTGAACTCACCTGCTCTATGGCATGCAATAATGACTTCTTTTGTATAATTTTGAAAGAACAAAAGACATTCTGGGCTTTAAAAACCTTAAGTGAATTGATGGGAGCTTCTGAAATTAGTTGCTTTGTCATGTAGGACACAAACAAAGACTTTCCAGGCCTTGTGAAACAAAATAGGGACTTACCCTTGCTTCATAAAAAAGATCAATTTTCCATTACTTATTCTGATTTTTAAAACCTCATTTATTTGATTCTACTTCTAATACGAAGCAAAAGATCTAACTGCAAAGCAGATAGTCATATAATTGAGCAAAATATTCCAAAAGTATGAGTGGTGCTTTTATTTTCACATATTAGTCAAGATTTTCCAATCATAATTGTTCAAGAACTAGGAATTTGTTATGTAACATTATTAATTCATTTACAATAAAATTTCTGGGCATTATCTGTGACAATCACCTTTTAGGCTAGACATAAGCTTAAGAGTTCTAAGCTTATGGCTAGATTCTCTATAATTAGAATGGGAACTGTTTCTGAATGACAAATTGTTTTATTGTGTTTTTGCTGTAATTTTGTAAACTGTTCAAATAACAGAATTGACCTTATGACCTAATGGAATCAGATTAAGAGTGGAGCATTGAGTTGATTGTGCATCGAGCATATCTGATGCAGCAAGTCAGTCTGCAGTGGTGGATAGCACGAAGTTTGGGCCTGACTTAGATTATGGGAAAAGTGCATCCTAAACTCAAACTGGCTTCAAGTCCTCCACAAAGTGTAAAGGCAAGTGAATCAAAAGAGATGGAGCAAAAGAAAGAGAGAGATAATATGTATGATTAAGAGAAATCAGGTGATCTATAGCAAGTGTTCAAATCAAGTGTTCAAAAATAAGGGAAAGAATACTAGAACTAAAGCTTTACAGAATAGTAGTAAGCATTTTTTTTGAAAGTTATGGTCAAAACAAAAAGGACATGAATGTAGAGTTAACAGAGAAGGTATTTAAACAAGCCAAAAAATATTAGAGGACATGTAAAAGACAAAGAATTAGCAACTGCAGGACAAAAAGAAAGATAGATAGAGCCGTGTTGCTACAAGTAAATACATAATGTTTGACATACCCAAATTTAGCTTCCAGGAAAGCTGGAGCACGTCCCTCCAAAAAAAAAAGGTCACTTACTTGCATTCCCAGAATTTGGAACATACATCGTCTATTTATTGTACATTACTTTGTGGTGTGCAAAACGAAAACACAGCATAACACATTCAGAAGCAGCAGTTTTGTTGGATCACTGAAGAACAACTGAGCTATAAACACCTGGAAGGCCAGTCAACCAGCCAGTGTGCAATCAGCCAGTATCAGAAGCCATTCAGTCTCGAAAGGCCACCTAGCCACAATCATCCATCAACTACAAGGAGCTAGCCAATTAATAACAATGGTTAATCAATCATTCACCATCAACACAGCTAAGGGATGAGCTCTGATTCTTTAGGTTATGAGTGTAGGGCAATGGAACTATCAGAAATACCATAGGAAGATATGGTGGAGCTGTTTATTGTATCAGTTTATCTTTAGCCCTTCCTATGAACAATATGCGCATGCCTGGAGCCATAGATTCCCAGTGTCAGCATAAGGTGGTGCAAGGTGTGGCCATACGACTTTAGCACAAGAATTGTTATTCTGCCCTCATGTCATGATGCGAATAAAGTGAAAGGTTATAAATCGGGGTTGGTGTAGCAAGCTACATGCTTACAAATCCTGCTTTGCCACTGATGTTTGCACCAGTATCCATAAACGTTACCATTCGCACCATTAAAATGAAACTAAGCTCAAAGCTGTAAACTTTTACAGTGAGCACATCCTGTAAAATGAAAACCTGTCAATTGATACAATAACTGTTACTTCCTTGGGTAATAACTCCTTTAGGCAAGGGCTCAGCTGAGTGGCATTACACTCTATAATTTGAAAATAAAATGGAGCAATGACATTATGTTAACATATTGGAACACTAAAGTTACCAGGTCACTCTGTTTTAAGTTTGCAACCCAAAAGTTCCACTACCGGTGAAAATATTACACGGAAGTCACCTTTTTGTTGATTTTATGCAGCTGTTAAGTTTTGTGCTTATAGGGATTGCTGAAAGCTTTTTTCCAAATGAATTGTATGTTCTGCATTAACCTGATGAGCCAGACCTTCTGATAGAAAAGTGGCGAATGTTGAGGAACTCAGTTCAGGTATGATCAGAAATCCTGATGCACGCACAGGTGCTGAAATTGCTGAGAAGTTTAAAATTCTGATAGGCTGATTTGCATTACCCAGGATCCTCTGTGAATGCTTCTATCATTGATGTCCCTTCTGGGGCTTTGGGCTAAATAGATCTGATTCACCCAGATAGAATTGTCATGCTATTTAAGATACAAGTCAGTGATTATGTGCTTATCTCAACGTATGATACCCAAACTACCCCCTAGACATGTGTATCCATCTCCCTGCTATCTCTAACCCAACTATCCACTCCAACCTACCGCCAATCAATCAATCTGACCCACCCATCCACCCCTGCCACAAATGCCTACAACCCTTGACCTGACTGTTGAACCCCAACTGCCCCTAAACCATTCACAACACTTATCCACCCACCAGCCACTGTTGTATTGAAAACACCTGAGGAATTTTAACACTTACCCCATCCTCTATGGATGGCTGTGCTGACACATCACTACTGCAGGAAAGTCTGCATAGGAAGGACACAATAAAATAACGGCGTGGGTGATCTGCACAGTCGGCAATGGCCCTGGCATCACCATTGACTGGAAGGTCTGGGCTGATACTGATACTTTCGTCCTTTATTTTACAGGTTCCAGATGAGCAGGCACAGCTGCAACAGTTGTGCAAGTACAGACTATGGAATGAACTATGGCATGTGGAGAGGACGTGAAGCACAAGGACAAATACTGCGTCTTCTGTTTGCATTGCAAGGCAAACAGCCATTCTTTCATCTAATTAGTGTATCATGCCTGAACATTTAGTTCAGGTGACAGCATGATTATCTAGTATTGCGGTGTACTAGCAGTGTCACATGTTTATTATATAAATAAAATACAATAAAGACCATGGTGACTATTGCAGTTTCTTTCATCATCTTCTATAGATCAAAGGAATTTAATTGAGAGTCACATCATACATGTTTAGATAGCTGAAATGTGAGACAAATACCCGAAAGTCAGATGCAACATTTTGTTTGCTTTGAACAACACAGTAGCTGGGATACTTAGATTTTAAAGCAAGAAACTCATTTAGAACATTTTGTTTTTTTAAATTATAATTAGTTACCTTCCATGTAGCTGCATTGCGTCTGAAGTAGGCAAACATTCGTGTAAACCAGTTATATATTTCATTTAGTGTTAGCTGCTTTTCTGGAGATTCAAGAATTGCCTGAGACAAAAATACAGTTGGTGATATGATAGATGTTTCTTTTAATCAACAGAATTATATGAACTTAACAGAAAGAAATTAATATTCTTAAATTACTTGATTTCAACACAGTTTTAACACAGAAAGAGAAAAATAAATCAGTTACATCAAAGATATTAGGGGTCGGTTAGCTCAGTTGACTGATTCTGCATAATAAATCAGCCAGTGATAGCAACAGGACAAATTCAATTCCTGCACCAGCTGAGTTTACTATGAAGGTTTCACATTCAAAACCTCTCCCCTCACTTGAGGTGTGGTGACTTTCAGGTTAAACTCACCACTGGTCATCTCTCTCTGACGAGAAAGAAGCCCTATAGCCCTTTGGAACTATGGTGACTTTAGCTTTAATAGACCTCGACTGGATTATTTTTACTGTGACTTAATTATGCATTTCTATTAATGAAAAAGAGTGACTACAGAAAGAATACTTCAACATTTTGACTACAGTAATAATTTATTTGATGTTTATCAATTTACACATCAGCTTTCATGGGCTTTAAGTACTTGACAAAATTGTGTTCTTAGTTAAGTATCCAAACATTAGGAAAATTAAAAAAATTAAAGAGTTACACTCACCTGCCTTATTAATGAAGCATACGTGAAAGGGGGTCTAACATCTGCATTCTTGTAGAATTCTTGATTCTGAGCAATGTCTGTAGATAGCCACAGATGTTTATTAAATTCTGATATATTGAGGAAGGCTTTAAAGTTGCATTACAAAAAATATTACAGTTGACACATTCCCATTATAACTTTAAAAGTAACGTTGCATCAGATAATAATTACAAAGTGGTGTTTTTGGCTTTCAATGATGACAGGAAAGCAAAGGTCCTACCTGAGGATATTGGCACATTGTACTTGTCAGGGTACCGCCTCCGGATGGGTCCCATGTTATGCATGCTGGTTGGGGTAATAACAGAGGGTCCTTGTGTGACGGGGGTAATGGGGGTTGTTGGCGTGGTAGGGGTGTGAGGTAAACTCTGTGGAGATGCCTCAGACACAGTCTTTGATAACGTGACATTCGATACCAGGTTCAGCTACAAAGATAGATTGAGGGTGAGATTTGGGTAATGGTGGGGAAAAAAGGGAAAAAAAAGGAAAGCTTTAATAGGCTTGACAAATAACAGTGTGAATCACACCTACCACTGTGCTGCTACTAATAAGCTACAGAGGAAGCAGACAATCTCAGAGCTAATTAAAAGATGAAATTGTATTGAAAGGACTCTAATTAGGAGATGCTTATAGAGGTGATCTAATGATTAAGCGCTGCATCAAACTGACCCCATCATCAACTTATAGTGACACAAGATGTCTGAAGAATTCTTATTGAAACAGTAATTTTTTTAAGGAGGAGGCAGTGATATTAGCAATAATAGCTGAGGTAAACTAATTAAAGTGGAGCTCTGAAGCCAAGGTGGCTGTAAGCAGCTGTTCTGTCCTTGCTTGCAGCTGCAGCCATTCCAAACCAGCTCCAAATCTCAACAGAGGCACTCCAGTCAACTGGAAAATTTCAGACTGACCTCTGCACTTGCTATTAATTTAGAGGAAAACTAATGACACATATACATATTCCCACAAAATTGTCTTAATTGCTAATTTGCCAAAGGAACAGTGTTTCCAAATTAAATATGACTGAAGTCAGTGGAAAAGGAATGCACCAATACAGGCATCGTGGGGAAAGGTGTTTCATCTGTGACAATCACTTGTGAATTGCGTTAACAAATTAATGGAATGTCAACTCTGTCAATTGCTTTTGGAAGTGTCACTTTTCAATTTTTTTTGATACCGGCATCAATTACTGCTGATGAGATTCAGCCTGCTGTAGCAATGGAGGTAGAAGAGTTCAGGTGAAAAGTGTATCACCCATGTTTAACACCTCACCTTTCTGCACCTCCTTGTTCACAAGTTCTCCAATTATCAGAGTCCTGCTAATAGTCATTATCTGGAGGTTATGCACTTGCTTACTTAAAAACACCACACAATTACAGAATTCCATCACAGATCAGGTCTATTAAATAACCTTTCCAAACACAAGTGAAGAACTATAAAGGCAAACAGACATGGTTTAGTCTTGTAATTTTCAAGTTATTTGGTTTTCTTTTAGATCACTTGGCTCACTGCACAGTAAATAAAATTTTAATCACAAGCCTTGTCCTCTATCAAATATTAAGATTATGGAAGCATATGTAATTATATAAACTTGAGATTTGTTATCGACAAAAACAAATAAAAATAGTCTTCATAACACGGCTTTAAAAAGACTAATGCATATTTAAGTAAGGACAAAAGCTGTATTTTTTTTAAAATAATGGCTACATTCCCCAGTAAAAGAATAGTCAATGTGTCGTTAGTACAATATGATGGTATTGTGTTCACTGATATAAAAATCTAGGATCTCAAATGTCCAATGCTGAATATCTAAAAATTTGCCCCAATCTTTTAACAATAGTTAAGAATAATTGTTTTTTTAATTTCAACCAGCTGCTGATTATGTGCCAAGGTTAAAAAAGAGTCACTATAGACAGCCAGGAAACTGAAGTATGGCCTCATCCTCTTGCTATTTTCAAGCCAGTCAGCAGCACCACTTTTTTCTTAACATTTTTGGTAGGATTTGACATTTGCAGTTATTTTCGTGTACACTATCCTTAATAAACCTTTAAAATGAGACTTTTTGGAATAAAACTGGTCACACTTCAAAACAAAGACTAAATTTCTAAGCTGCTTGAAAACCCATTTCGAATTTAGTGTATTTAGGTCGTATCCTTGACTGCATTTTCCATCAGAATTATAAACGTCAACTCAAGTGCAGGTATTTACCATATTGTAGCTTTTTCCACTAGTTTAGCAAATTTAGTTTGGAAATAAATTAATCTTCAAGACAACATATACTGCATATTTCATTCTACAGCTGAAACAGTTCTGTAAGCCAAACATATTAATTTTTATATTGATCACCTGCTAGGTGGTGTTCAGCAGGTTTAGAAGTGCCTTGAATTGTCCATAAATCCCTGGCAAGTATTTATTTTTATACTGTTGCTACAGATATTATTTTTATGATTAACTATGTGAAATGAGAAATGTATTACAGCTAATGGAAATATCATACAATTTTCAACATTAATGCTGGTCTGTCTGTAACCTGCCAGATTTGAATGAAGCAGTAATTTGCAAACTGAAATCTCTGAACAACAAAAATTGGTATTCTCAACTTGCTTTAAAGGTAACACTTAATGATGCATAATTCTGCTAATAAACAGTATGCTCACATTCTGACATCTGTTACCCAGCACAATGATTAATCATCAGAGCCCACTTCTCCTTGGTAATAAGGCAATATTAATATTTATCAATTGCATGAGTTATACTGTTCCGTCATCGGAAAATAATAACTAAGTTACCAAGTATGCAAGCTCAAACTCACTGGTTATGGAATGTAGGTTAACTATCAGTATATTTTGTGTTGAGATGCCAATTGAAATTGCCACATAGATTTCAATTTTACAAAGGAAAATATTTATAACAAAACAATGTGCGCTCGATTGATACTCTGAACTGTAACTGCCAAGTATTCTGCACTCCTATTTACAATGACATTTCAGCCTGTTGACATAAAATGGTATCAAAATCTAGACAGTATGCAGAGACAGATATATTTCATGCTTGTTAAAAAAGCTTTCCTTTAACGGAATTTATAATGTTGAGTTTAATCCTTACTCCGATATGAAATACAGATCTAAAGACCAAAACATTTTCATACAGGGCGAGATCTGTTAAAAAAAATACAATGATACAAACAATTTGCGCTTTTGACAATGGAATACCTTAGGCTGTGAGGCTGTTGTTTCTCTACATTAGAAGTTCCATTCTTTGACAACTATAAAAGAACTATAATATTAAACTGTATATATGGTTGTTTTAGTTATAGTGGTGTATGACTTGCACTGCATTATTCTTGCTGAAACTATTTTTTCAACACTCATGTAACATGTCATTAAAAGGCTGTCATTCAAAGCACTGCTTAATCCATAAGCAAAGCCACGACAGTTCTGAATCTTGAGCACTGTCTCTTTCTCAAATTCACTTGGCTTAGTTGGGTAAGCTAACAACATCTGAGGCAAATGTGAGAAAAAGCACCACAATGTAAGAGGATATCTGACTTTTCATGGAACAGGGTTGGTAAAAGGGGAGAACCTACCCGACTTTCCAAATTCAAAACAAAAATAAATGAGTGACACTGACAACCTGTGTTGGGAATGCTACTCTCTAAGTTGTTTTACGTTTCTGGTTGGAGTTTTTAGCATTTGGTTTATGTGTAATGGAGTGGAAAATACTATTTTAAAAGTCAATGCCTATCATTAAGGCAAAGTCCATTTTATGAAAAAAATTATAATGCCCTGGATATAATGCCTGCGCATATATTTATTTATTAGATGTTATGTGTTGTGGACATGTTTAACTCAAAGTGAAAAGTTTGGACCTTTTCCAAATATAACTTCTCCACACATTGAGATAGCATATCTCAATTTGCAATAGGCTTTAGTTATTTTTGAAATGTTACATGCAAGTTCTTTTCTTTCACCCTGAACAATTAAGTTATAGATTCAGAGAGTCATAGATTCATATATCACGGAAACAGACCCTTTGGTCCAACTAGTCAACGCCGACCAAGTTTCCCAAATTAAACTAGTCCCACTTGCCTGTCCAAATGTCCTTAAAATGTTGTAGCTGCAACTGTATCCATCACTTCCTGTGGCAGTTCATTCACATACGAACCATCCTCTTTGTGAAAAAGTTGCCTCTCAAGTCCCTTTTAAATCTTTCTCCTCTCATCTTAAAAATATGCCCCCTAGTTTTGAACTTCCCCACCCTACGGAAAAGACCTTTGCTATTCACCTTATCTATGCCCATCATGATTTTATAAACCTCTATAAAGGTCACACGTCAACCTCCTACATTCCAGTGAAAAAATTCCCAACCTATCCAGCCTCTCCTTATAACTCAAACCCTCCAGTCCTGGCCACATCCTGGTAAATCTTTTTGAACCTTCTCCAAATGAATAATATCTTAACCCCTTAGTGTCCCATTTACTCAGTCATTCCCTGATTGGGCATTTTAAAAAAAAAGCATCAAAACTGAGTAATATGATAAGTCCTAAAGGCTCCTGAACAACATGGCCAACGGCAAGTCAGCTGGAAAATATGGTGAGATCAGAAAAATTAGATTCTCAGTCGATAAAATAAGATTTCAATTTTCCACACAGGTTTGGACTGGCAAGACAAGGGCCTCATTACTGAGCAGTGAGAGGCCTATTTGCATTCATTAATGTCTCCTTCATATCTATTCTCACCTGATTTATATACAGTTTGCAATTCTCCCACATGGCAGAGAAAAACTAGACATTGACAATTCTTGACGTGAAAGTCAGAGTGGGTACCTGGCTCATTGCTTTGCTCCTCTGGGCACCACCTTTGGTTAGCAGTCACCAACACCTTAGGCACGTTTCATGGGCAACAACTGCCTGCACCCCACCCTCAGGGATGAAGTTTAGTAGCAGATATGCAGAAGCCTCACCACGTCACATCTCCGAATCACTTAGAATACAGTTATCTACTTCAATGTTACAGTTTTGGACTCATGGAGACCTTGTATTGCAATGCTGCTGCCAGGCAGCTCATTCACAGGGGCAAGCACTCATCATGAACCTCAGGGCTCTTCGCATGTTCTTGTAACATTTAGGCACTTTGCAATACTTGGATGTTTACAGAATCACTACCTTCCTTTGCCCTGCCTTTTTAGCACTTTGCTGCCTTATTCAGAACTTACAACGCTCAAAGTTCTTCTCTTGCCTCGCCTTTTAGCGCAGGCACAAAGATAAGCTGCTTGTCACTGTTCAGCAGTGATCAATCAAGAAGACAGGCATCTTGCTGTACAGAACCAGGCTCTGTCAATCCTGCACCTACATTGTGTGCCAGCAGCTTATACAGCAAACACACTGCAGATCCTTCAGCTAAATACAGATGTTCTTGGGTGCTGTGGA